GGTAGAGCGTTTAGATAATAGGCAACCGCAATAGACCACACTGTGCAAAAAGAAGTGGAAGCTAGGTCACAGCATCACTGGTAAATATCTTTTACTATACAGTAAGGAAAGAAATAATTAGAGCTTTGTTAGATGCTACTGCATTCAAATCCAAGTCTTACCTTGCTTCTTTGAACCAACTTAAGTAGTACTCAAATCAATGATCTACCCATTTGTTACTAGAGTGAACTTAATATTATGCCTGTAATTGTGAATTCCATTCAAGCATTCCACAACTCCAATCAACCATATTTTGTATTCGCTTCTAACAGTGGGGGATCCTATACCTGGAGCTGCTATTAACGGTACTTCTTTGTCATCTTGGAAAAACACCGATCTTCTAAGGATAGGTCTGTCTACATAGCATTTCTTAGAGTGTTTCACAAGTGCTTGAAACGTTTTTAACTTTTTGGAGCATTTGTCATGATGTAAGTGCATATTAGCCATAGCTATTGAATAGTGTATCAGACAGCACTAAGATCCTGATCATAGAAAGCTCTTAGTTCCTGTGATATAGTTTTAGTTAAGGTACATTTTTCTACATAAACTATTGAGAAGCACTCCTCAAGGCATGATATATTTCATGTGTGACAAAATTATTTTGAGGTTATGTCATACATAAAATGTCACGCCTTGCATTTTATCCAGCCCATTTCCTGGACGCATGGCTGCGTTGTTTGTGAACATATAAGGTTTTGCAAAATGTGAGATAGTGTTTAGGTATAGACGCAGGTATAACTTGGTACTATATATTGGTCTAAGTTCATTTGAGATTATTCTTGTCTTATTACAACCATGGACTCAAACAAGAAGCCAAACTCAAAAGAGAGAACATTCAAAACAGTGTCAAGAATATTACAAGAATTCAAGAAAACAGCAAAAAAAAAAAAAGAAGAGAGGCAATGTATCAGAAGGAGAGTTAAAGCGAGGTCAACCAATTACAAGATCCAGACGTCGCCCAGCCATTGATCTTCCCAAAGAAGCATCAAAGAAAAGAAGAATGGCTGATTCTGAGCAAAACTTGCCAAAGGGGAAAAAAGGATGGTCTCATCATCTCTTCAAAAGAATCTCATGGAAAAAAAACAGAAAGAGGCCATTCAAGTTCTGGCAACACCAAAGGCCACTGAAGGCACAACTTTTAAAGAGCTTGCACCAAAAAATTTCGTTCGAGACCTAAAGGCTTGATCTATCAGTAGCAGCACTTTTGGAGACTATCCTGGAATGTACTGCGGCTTTTCTGTGGTAATCAAAGAGTACAAAGAGACAAGAGAGTTAGGTTTTCCTTTTTGCAAAAATAAGCAAGATATAAGGTGCATGTTTTGCAACAATTGGGGGATCATCCTAGCATCCCACTTTTGTTTGGTGTTTTATTAGAGAAAAAGCCAGTCAGTCTTGTGCTCTAGCACCATGGGGACGAAGGCAAAAGCCTCACCGTGTGCAAAGCAGCAAAAAACAAGGTTTCTGAGCAGAAGGATTGGAACAGCATTCTTCATGACATGGCTGTCACGTTAGCCCACATTCCTAAATGTGGATTTACACGTAATGACCTTACATGCAACAATATTGTTTAAGAGAAACATGAAGACCAGCTTCTACACCCCATCATAATCGATTTTCGCATGTCTTGCCTCTACAAAAGCTAAAATTGCCATTCCAAAACTGTCGCATTTTAAAGGTCATTACAAGAATAGTTCATTGCGCCAGAACTTTTAGACAGAACAGGGAACTATCCGGTGAAAGCGATGTTTATTCCCTGATTTACCTAATTATCAAAGTTTATCCACTTTTTAAGTTCAAGGCCATGCCCTCTAAGGGTTTATCGCAGGTAGTCTCAACAAGGCCATCGACCATGGAAGTAAAATCAGCTCTATGTGCCACTTTTCAAGCTCTTTTTTAAGCTAGTGGCACTGTCAATGTGCCACCAGCTAATTTGCATAAAAAAAATTATTTGTGGCACAAAGCTCATCATACTTTGTAATGATTACTCTAACTTTACATCAGTTAACAGACCTTAGAGAAGGCAGTTCATACTCAGTTTTATGCATATCTAACCAAGAATAATTTCATTTCACCCAACCAGTTTGGATTTAGATTAAAGTCATCTACTGTTAGTGCCACCTCCCAGCTTTCTGGACAATGTTTGCCTGACTGGTGCCGTATTCTTGGACCTCGCCAAAGCGTTTGACACTGTCAATCACACAATACTGTTTCAGAAGCTCTAAAACTATGGTGTTGATGATGCTGCCAAAGCCTGGTTTACTTCATTCTTAATGAACAGAAAACAAGTGACCAGCTGTAATGATGTATGCTCCAAAGTTGCCCCTGTTTCGATTGGCAAACATTGGGCCCACTTCTATTTATAATTAACATGAATGATCTACCTGACGTTTTGCAGTTCTGTCAGGTCACTCAGATGACACTGTTCTATATCTCACCTCCAAATCTACTGTGGACTTACAAAGCAAGATTAATACTTAAAACATATATGTGAATGGCTTAGGGCTAACCAACTTACTCTGAATGTTAAGAAATCCAAATTTTTACCTATCGGTAGTAGTTCCTGCTTAAGCAAAATTGGGTCCATCCTTATTTCTGCCGACGATATCCCTCTCGATAATGTAGATTCGTGTACGTACTTGGGTATTGTGATTAATAACCGGTTTTCCTGGACTGACTACATTGATTATATTTGTGGTAAGATCAGTAAAAAGTTAGGTCTCTGAAGGCGTATTAAACCTTGCCTCCCACTCAACA